CGCCCGTCCGGCGCGCGCCGCACCGGCTGACCCCCCCCCCCCCCCCCCCCCCTCCTGGACAGTTCGCCGGCATCGGACCATCGCGGCCAATTCCGACAGTTGTCCAGCGGCTCGGCGGTGCCGCTGCCGCCGGCGCCGGCGCCACCAGCACACGCGGGGCGGACGGGTCGGGTCGCTGTCGGCTCCAGTCGTCGGGCACCGTCTCACGTTCGTCGGACAGGCCCATGACGGTTGTCTCACACTGGCGGTATGACGGGCGGGGTCGGTTGGCATGCCACGGGACGAATCCGTGCCAACAATCGGCCAGCAACGATGGAAGGATGCGGTGCGTGGGATGTATTGAGAATGGTTCGCACTGGATGCTGAGTGGGTTAACTGAAGGGCTGTCGTGACGAGCAAGGGCGTGTGGACACGCCGGAAACGAAAACGAAACGCCGGTCTGGGTGTGGCAGAGCGTGGCTCGTTGAGCGCCCTCTATCCCTGTAGTGCGCTGAGGGGTGCGGAAGCGTGCCAGCACGTCTCCCTCCGTGTCTGAACGCCGGCCGACGCCGGCCGAGTCGGCCGCGCGCCGGCCGGTGTGCCCGGGGGAGGTGCTCAGCGGCGCCGGCTTCCCACGGGCCGCGCGGGCCGAGCCCTCCCCCGCCCGCTGCAGTGGCGGGTCGCGGGCGACCCCGGCCGTCACGCCACGCCTGGCTAGGTCGCGTGGCACCCGAACGCGTGACCCGTGTGACCTCGCCGCGACCCTCGCGGTCGGTCGCCTGCCCCCGTCTTTCACGGTTTGCAAGTTGGCCGTTTTTGCCCGACGGCTGCCCAACCGTGGTGCTGGCCGGTCACCAGGACAGCTGTTGAGCTCCGATGAACCCGATCTCCCCGTAATGGAACTGGATGTCGGCGTCTCCTGGGACCTTTGCCTTGCACTGTGTCTTGTCCCATGCCCTGCCTCTGCGAAGCGTGCGGCCGGTTAAGTGCCTGCTAATCGTCTCTGTGTGAGTGTTCACACCGTGTTCGTGACTTGTCGTCATCATAGCTTGCCAATGTCTCGCTTGACGTATCCATCTCGTGGTCTGAGTGCCGGTCGGTGCGCCATATTGACTTGCCGAGGTGGGCGTGGTTTTGTGAGCGCGCCCTCGCAGTTTTCAGGGTGTGGTACGTGCTCATACGAGTCTACGTGAAATCTGACCGTGTGTTTAAGAGGCGCAGTGTGACCGGTCGGCTTTGGAGCCTGCTCGTACGCCGGGGCCCAATATGTCACTTCGCTTTTGACTCACGTTTCCTGTTGCGGCCCAGCTCATTTAACGCTGTGCCCGGCTAGCGCCATACCCCACGTTACAACGTGTTCAGGCCCTCAGTCTTCGACACCGGCTATGTATCGCCACGTGCGGCGTACCGGCCTGGAACCCGCCAGTCGCAACCCGGTGGATCGCTATTGATCGTGTCGTCCCTGTGCCGGCAGCCGGCCGGCCGGCCGCCGCGCGCCTCGTGGCCGACCATGGTGTGACCCCGCCCGGCGCCGCTCCGATGGAGCTGCCGGCTGGCGCTGGCGCCGGCGGCGTGCAGCGCCGGGTCATCCGGCCGCCGACGCTGAAGCGCGGCCGGCAGGACGTGCACCACAGCGACAAGGTACGGCCGTAGTCCGCGCAGGGCACTGACAAACAGAGACGAGATACGGCCCCGGCCCCCTCAAGACACTGACAAACAGGGACAGGGTACGGCCCCAGCCCACGGGGCCGGGGCCGTATCCCGTCTGTGCCATGTCTGTGCCATGTCTGTGCCATGGTACTGTGACATCATACTGTGCCATGAGCTGGCGCTGCCCGGCGTTATGCTGTATCACGAGCTGACGCTGCCCGGCGGTACGCCATGCCATGTGATGACGCTGCAAAATACGATTCTCCACTGAGGTGCGCGAGGCTCGTTCCGTGTTTTCCTCTTTCATTCGCGCTTAAACCGGAATATGGTCACGACGCGCGCGGCGTTTTCCTCTGCTCTGTGGTCGGGAGGACACGTCCGGGTGCCGGCCGAAGAGGACGCCGCCAGGAAGCTGGCCACGCGTTTGGCATTACGGCATAACACGCCAGCTTATGGAGACCGCGCGGAAGCTGAGGACGCGCTGGATTAGCGCAGCTTAGTCGCGGATCCCGCAGCCGGCTGATCCTGGCAGTAAGCCCAAAGATTACCTCGTGATGCGCCATTCGCATCATATGTGTGCCACTACTGGTGTTGGCTGATATATTTATGAAAAGCTTAGGGGCGTTTGTTTTCCGTATGCTGTCTGTTCTACGACATTTGTTGTGCGAGCGGCCACTTTCAGCGAACGTTAGATAGCGCCGGAGTCTTGGAACCGGAACCGAGCGGAAAACTCATGGATAACAGCCCGGAGTGTCGGCCTGACAGTTCTTTCCTCTGAGTCACGGCAGCCGATTGCACGGCTGCTGTGACGCAATGACACGTCTCGGCCAACTAAGCCCACGCTATCGGGAAGCGGAGCGGACTGGTTTCTGGCGGCAGCGCTGTTGTGCCGGCCGGTCGGGACCGAGCCCCGGGCCCGCTATGTTTGCATGAGCCTGCTCGCCTCGCGTGCTGAAGCCCCGCAAGGTCGGCGGAGCGGATCGACCAACTCATCCCGGCGCCGCCCGGCTGTGCGTCCGGCCCGGCGCCAGGGTCAAGTTTGGTCGATAGACAGGTCAGAGCCGGCGGGGAAGGCGTCAGGTGCTGGCCGGTGCCGCCTGGCCGGCGTCTGCTTCGATCTCTTGGAGGGGCCTTTGACAGCTTGTACGCTGGTTGCAGTGCCCGTAAACAGTTATCCGTTATTTGAAGGAACACCTTCTGATAACCACTTGCCTTAGTGGCTTTGCGCTTGCATTTATAGTTTCAATCTTGGCGTCATGATATGCAGTGGTTCTTCCTCAGGGCATCGTTTCGCAAAATACGCTGATGGGAAGGGGTTGGTGGCTGGACAGAGAAAATGGCCAGAAGTACCCACAAAATACGGGCGAAAACGGGTTCTCGTCGTATTTCGTCCCTGAGCAGGAGACCAGAGCATCCCTCAACTGAAAAGGAAACTGTATCCGGGCTCATGTACTTAAAATGTCCGCGACAACCGACCGCACGTTTTCAAAAATGCGATTTTTTTGCCGCCACGGATGCGTCATGATCCAACATTACTAGTTCCATTGCGTACAGACAGATGGCGCTGCCGTCGCTGGGCGTCGCGTCACCCACGTACGGCCGGTTCGCGGTGGTGACCGCTGTCTGATCACTGCCGGCCGCCTGCTGCGAGAGCGGCGCTCCGCGGCCGATAATTGGCCGTTGTCGACGGGTGGCCGGACTGGCTCCGTGTCACGTGCTGGGGCGGCCGGCGCTCCGCCCGCGGTAACGGTGCCGGCCCACGACATGCCGCCTCCGTCCTCTGCACTGACCTGGACTGCGCGGCCACTGCCGACAGAGGGCGGCGAGTCGATCAGATGCGGCCGATGGGCCAGGTCAGCACGGGCGGGCGCCGCGTCCGGCCGGACCGGGCCCGCTGCCAGCTCGCCGCCTCCTCCGCAGCGGCGGGGCGCTGACCGGTATCGACACAGCGTCCCCTTCCGAACGGATGCCTCGCTGGCGCCGCAGACGCTAGCCGCGGCGCGTGGCGCACTTCCGGCGTGTAGAGAGTGGGGTTCCGTTGAGTCGACAGTGGGGTACGGAGAGCCGGCCTGGTACGGAGAGCCGGCCCGACACAGAGAGCCCGGCGGACCTGGTACGGAGGGCCGGGCGGTTGGTACGGAGAGCCGGCCAGCCTGATACGGAGAGCCGGCCTGGTGCGGAGAGCCGGCCTGGTACGGAGAGCCGGCCTGGTGCGGAGAGCCGGCCTGGTACGGAGGGCCGGCCTGGTGCGGAGAGCCGGCCTGGTACGGAGAGCCAGCCTGGTGCGGAGAGCCGGCCTGGTACGGAGAGCCAGCCTGGTGCGGAGAGCCGGCCTGGTACGGAGAGCCAGCCTGGTGCGGAGAGCCGGCCTGGTACGGAGAGCCGGCCTGGTACGGAGAGGCGGCCTGGTACGGAGAGCCGGCCTGGTGCGGAGAGCCGGCCAGCCTGGTGCGGAGAGCCGGCCAGCCTGGTGCGGAGAGCCGGCCAGCCTGGTGCGGAGAGCCGGCCAGCCTGGTACGGAGAGCCGGCCAGCCTGGTGCGGAGAGCCGGCCAGCCTGGTGCGGAGAGCCGGCCAGCCTGGTCCGGAGAGCCGGCCTGGTGCGGAGAGCCGGCCTGGTACGGAGAGCCGGCCAGCCTGGTGCGGAGAGCCGGCCAGCCTGGTGCGGAGAGCCGGCCAGCCTGGTCCGGAGAGCCGGCCTGGTGCGGAGAGCCGGCCTGGTACGGAGAGCCGGCCAGCCTGGTACGGAGAGCCGGCCTGGTGCGGAGAGCCGGCCTGGTACGGAGAGCCGGCCTGGTACGGAGAGCCGGCCTGGTACGGAAAGCCGGCCAGCCTGGTACGGAGAGCCGGCCTGGTACGGAGAGCCGGCCTGGTACAGGTGGTGACGTGTGGGTCATCGCGTGCCTTCCGTCAGCGTGGTCAAGGCGCTGCACTGACAATTGGCCCTCCGAGGAGCCCCGCTGAGCGGCACCGCCAGCCGTGCCTGTCCGTGCTGGCCGTCGACCTCGGCCTGTGTCACCGCCACGTCAGGCGTGTCCGGTAGCCAGCTGGCGTGCTGAGGGCGACCCGGGTCAGCCCCGCCTCACACAGCTCCCGCGCCGTCCGCGGCGTCATCCATATGTATACGTGCCTCCAACTTGGCTGTTGGTTTTTAGCAAACACCGCGCGGGAGCCATGTTTCACGCACGCGTGCCCCGACCGCGTGGGCGGCGGGCGGCCGGCGCGGTGCCGCGGGGGCACGGCTAGACGGCGAGCGCGCGGCGGCGGCCAGGTGCGCGGCTCAGTACCGGAGTGGCCGTCGCGTGGCCCGGGCGCCGCGTCTCCGCTCGGCGCGTCGGCTGGCCGCGACTGCGCGTGTTCGGTGTGCGCGTGTCGCGCGCGCGCGCGTGCCTGCCGCATGGCCAAGGAGGAGCCGCCGGCGAGCGAGGGTGGCATGGGCGCGAACACGGCGCCGGCCGAACGCGGCCAGACGGAGCCGCTTCATCAGGTGAGGCTGCTGTGGTCCCCCTTGTTGACAAGGTGGCGCGGAGGGCCGGCCAGCTGTCGACAACGCATGGCCCGTCCCGTTGGCAATGCCTGGCGCGTCCCATGACGGGAGGACCCGGTGAGCCCACACCCACACCTGAGCCCATACTCGCCCCGCTATCGGGCGGCCCGGGTGGTGGTCAGGCCATGTAGAGAAGCTCGTCTGCCCCCGCTCGCCCCTTGCGGTGTGGTGTGGCGTGTTGTGTGCCGAGCAGGTGGGGCCTGCTACCCGGCGCTGTCGGCCAGCTCCTCCCAGCCGGCGCCGCACCGCCGCCCTGTGCTGCCGGCCCGCTCGACCGGCCTCAGCTCCCAGCTCGCCCACCCTAACGGGAACGGGGTCGGCGCGCTCCGGTCGCGCCGCCGCCGCCCCGCCGCCGGCTCCCGTTGTTTATCTGCCGGGCCGGCCCGGCCTATCTCGAGTGTTGAGAGGGAGCCGGATGTGCCTTCGACCTGGCGCGGCGGCCCCGGTCGGCCGGGACGCACCGGCAGGGCTGCGGCCGATTCCGTGACCCAGCCGCGCGCGCCGCCTCAAGGAGACGCCCGCGCCCCGCGGCAGATCGGCCAGATAGCACGCGGCGGCGGTGACGGACGGCGGACTGAAACGCGGCTGGACCGCGAGGTCGGCGTGGTGGGTGGCGGCCAGTCGTGAGCAGCTGTGATGATGGCGTGGCGTAGCATCTTTCCTGTGGGGAGCGCCACGCTGGCGTCCGTCACGTCCGCTGACAGACGGCACGCCGGCGTCCGTCACGTCCGCTGCCGGACGGCACGCCGGCAGCGGACGCGCTGTGCCGCCGTCAGCAGCGATCCGCGAGCGATCGTGTCACGTTGTCCAGTGGCGCGGACGGAGCGTGCCGCGAGCAGCGCCGGCGCGTGACCTGCCGCCGGACACGTCTCCGGGCCGCGGCCGTCTGTGGACGAGCGGCGCCGCGCAGGACGCGCCGGGTCCGCCGCAGTCTGCTGCTGCAGTCTGCTGCCAATCTCCGATAGCCGCGCTCGTCAGGGGCCGTTCTGGATGTGCGGGGCGCGCCCGCCGATAACTCTGGGCGTAATGGGCAGGCGTGATCCGCCGGCACCGTGCTGACGGCAGCCGGCCGGGCAAGTCGAGGTCCGGCCAGTGCCGGTGCCGTGCCGTGCTGGGATCGTCTCCACGCGCGCGTCCGGGTGCGCTCGGCCGCGCCGTGCTGACCGCCAGCCGTGCACAGCGTCCGACCGTCCCTGAAGCCTTCCCACGGTCCAGCCGGTCGACCGGGCAACTTTTTGTCGCGTCAGGGGCATGCCCCACGCCATGGCCGGAGCGCGCCGCGCCGTCGCCGGCTCGGCCGGCAGCCCCGGCGGGAGGTGCAGGCGCGTCTGACGGGACCGCCGCGCGCTGACAGGAGCTCACTGGGCCGGCCGACGGCCTCAGTCACTGTGGCCCGGCGAGTTCGCTTTACGTGCATTGAATGCAAGACCATGACAGCGGCCGCCCGTGCTGATGCGGGTCGTTGGCAGCGTCACGCTGCTGGACGTTTTTAGGTGACGACGAGCTGGACCTCACCCGGCCCGGCCCATCAGATCGATGAGTCTGACAACAAACCGACCTGGTAGCGGTGGCCGGCGGACGCCACGTGCCATCGATGGCGGCCGGGCCCAGGGTTTGTGTTTGTCGGCGGCGTGCCCGGCCACTCAGGGCCGGTGCTTGTCGGCGGCGTGCCCGGCCACTCAGGGCCGGTGCTTGTCGGCGGCGTGCCCGGCCACTCAGGGCCGGTGCTTGTCGGCGGCGTGCCCGGCCACTCAGGGCCGGTGCTTGTCGGCGGCGCGCACGGCCACTCAGGACCGGTGTTTGTCGTCGGCGTGCCCGGTCACTCAGGGCCGGTGCTTGTCGTCGGCGTGCCCGGTCACTCAGGGCTGGTGTTTGTCGGCGGCGTGCCCGGCCACTCAGGGCCGGTGCTTGTCGTCGGCGTGCCCGGTCACTCAGGGCTGGTGCTTGTCGTCGGCGTGCCCGGTCACTCAGGGCTGGTGTTTGTCGGCGGCGTGCCCGGCCACTCAGGGCCGGTGCTTGTCGGCGGCGTGCACGGTCACTCAGGACCGGTGTTTGTCGTCGGCGTGCCCGGTCACTCAGGGCCGGTGCTTGTCGTCGGTGTGCCCGGTCACTCAGGGCTGGTGTTTGTCGGCGGCGTGCCCGGCCACTCAGGGCCGGTGCTTGTCGGCGGCGTGCACGGTCACTCAGGACCGGTGTTTGTCGTCGGCGTGCCCGGCCACTCAGGGCCGGTGCTTGTCGGCGGCGTGCACGGTCACTCAGGACCGGTGTTTGTCGTCGGCGTGCCCGGTCACTCAGGGGTGGTGTTTGTCGTCGGCGTGCCCGGTCACTCAGGGCTGGTGTTTGTCGGCGGCGTGCCCGGTCACTCAGGGACGGTTTTTGTCGGCGGCGTACCCGGTCACTTCCGCCCGTCAACTCACGCCGCCAGCGCATGGACGGCACA